CATATGTTTAGAAAGCACTTACCTAAGTTTCAATTTGTCCAAACTAGGAGGATACTCCCAAATACCAATTGAAAGAATAAGTTCAATTGAAGGTTTGTTATTCATCTATCATTATAGACGGCACGAAGAAAGCGAAAGTAAGAAGTAGATAAAAATAAAATGAAAAAAATGCAGCATCTGTAACATCTACCCATCTGGAATTTTAATCAACCAATTCATTGAATAACTTTTGAATAACTTTTTGATAAACTAATCATACGAGATGGGTCGTATAACTTCATTCAACAACGAAATTCTTTTAAAATTAGTAAGTATGGCCTAGTTTCGATTTTGATCATTTCTTCTATTGTTGATTTTAGAGCCAAGCGTAAACTTAAGAATAAGAAAAAAAACTAAAACTTTTTACTTTACTTTACGTTTAACTCATTAAATACAGCAATAGGTTCATTCAGATAATATAATATCTTGAACAACTGAGAAAAAAGAAATTTATTAGACAATCATATAATATAGCTTTTATAGGTTTCCAATTTGATATTTGCATTTACTATTTGAAAGACCGATGCTCGCAGATAAATGCTCGGACCCTCATCAAATACAAGACTGCATCACACCTATTTTTTTTTTAAATAACAAAAAAATTAGAACAAAAATTAAAGGTCCATTTGGGAATATAATAAATAAATAGAATAAAGTAGGGTAAGAATATAATAATCTCTTGCATTGGAAAAATTGTCTATTGATCTATTGAACGGGGCAACATTTTACATCAATAAATAAAAGTAAAGCAAAAAAGAAATTATTTAACACTTCCTGATTAAAATTGCGTTGCTGTGTCAGAAGAAAGATAATTATACTGATTCGGTATACTCTAAAGACGCCGTCGGTACAATATTGACGATCTCACTAAAATGAGATTTCAGTAAATTGACATTTACTGATCTCATTTTTTACGGAATCAATATCAATCCCATTTGACTGTACAAGAATATGTGGAGCTCAGCATGTCTGGAAGCACAGGAGAACGTTCTTTTGCGGATATTATTACCAGTATTCGATACTGGGTCATTCATAGCATTACTATACCTTCCCTTTTCATTGCGGGTTGGCTATTCGTCAGCACCGGTTTAGCTTATGATGTGTTTGGAAGCCCTAGGCCAAACGAGTATTTCACAGAAAATCGACAGGGAATTCCATTAATAACTGGTCGTTTTGATTCTTTGGAACAACTTGATGAATTTAGTAGATCTTTTTAGGAGGGCCTAATGACTATAGATCGAACCTATCCAATTTTTACAGTACGATGGTTGGCTGTTCACGGACTGGCGGTCCCTACCGTCTTCTTTTTGGGATCCATATCAGCAATGCAGTTCATCCAACGATAAACCTATATCCGAATTTTATAACTTAACTATGACACAATCAAACCCGAACGAACAAAATGTTGAATTGAATCGTACCAGTCTATACTGGGGGTTATTACTCATTTTTGTACTTGCGGTTTTATTTTCCAATTATTTCTTCAATTAAGAAAACGAAAGAGAATCCAATAAGAATTCTAGGTATTCTCTTAGCGCATTCGGAAGGATCTCATCTAATAATTATCCATGACTGTTTATGTCTCTCTAGCACGAACACTTGATGAAATACGGAGTGAAGTGGGATAAATGGCCGATACTACTGGAAGAATTCCTCTTTGGATAATAGGTACTGTAACTGGTATTCTTGTGATCGGGTTAATAGGTGTTTTCTTTTATGGTTCATATTCCGGATTGGGTTCATCCCTATAGTAATCGAATGAGTTGAGTTCGAGACATGAAAGCGTAAGAACTCGGCGGGATTCCCCTCTTTCTTTGTCTGATTTGAGGGGGACAGACCCGTTGAGTTCCTAAGAATCATACTTTTTTTATTTGCCCACCACCTCTTATCTTATTCTTATATTATCTCATAATAACTCGAAAAAATTTTCTGATACATTGTAAAAATTCAAAAACAAGACTAGGAATCATTGAAGAACAGGATTAAGAATCATTACTCTTTCGGCACAAGAAAGAGTTTCGAAAATTCCCTTTCTTGTGTCGAAGACTACTCGGAAGACGAATACTCTCTCCTAGCATTATACGTTTCCCGCATTTATCCGTTCTTTCTATATAACATAACCAATTACTTCTGCCTAGTATTTAATCCAATTGGATTAGATTGTGAATCAAAAATCAAATTATTGATCCATTTTATGATATTGAAAAATAACAGTAGTAATATAACTAAACCACACCATTTTGCATAACAAAAGCTAAGAAAGGGAAAACCCAACCCAACAGCCTTCTTCAAAATCTACATATCAAAATCTCTAGATTATGGCTGGACACAAAAGTCCCAGTCGAGTAGGAAAAAAGTAAAAAGTCAATAAATCCGCAACCGCAAGTCTAGAAATTCATTTCAGCTAATTGAACCTTCTCGAACTGTTTCTTTTTAAGAACCAAAAAGATTTGTGCCAAAATAACAGATGCCAAGAAGACCAAAAGGCCTTGGAGGCGCAATGGGTCTTGAAGTACTATTTCTGCATCCCCTTGACCAAACCCTCCCACATTAGGATTACTCGTTAATGGTTGATCAAATTTGATGGATTCGCCCTCTGAAACAAGAAGTTCTGGTCCTGGGGGGATAATATCAACCACTTCTTGTCCACCCGTATCTGTTATGGTTATTTCATATCCCCCTTTTTCTTTTCGTAAGATTTTGCTTACTATACCTGCTGCTGTAGCATTATAAACTGTATTGTTACTCTTACTCCCGTCAGGATAAATCTGACCCCTTCCTCGGTTCCCGCCCACGTATATAGGATACTTTAAGAAGTAAATATCTTTCTTCGTAGCAGGGTCCGGGGAAAGTATAGGAAAGGTGATTTCACTATATTTCTGACCGGGTACGGGTCCTATCACAAGAATATTTTTTTTATTGGGGCGATAGCTCTGAAAAGACAAATTGCCTATCCTTTCTTTAATCTCTGGAGAAATACGATCGGAAGGAGCTAATTCAAACCCTTCCGGTAAAATAAGAACAGCCCCTACATTCAAACCCCCTTTTTTACCATTAGCAAGAACTTGTTTCAGTTGCATATCATAAGGAATTCGAACAACCGCTTCAAATACAGTATCAGGAAGTACCGCCTGTGGAACCTCAATATCGACGGGCTTACTTGCTAAATGGCAATTGGCACAGACAATACGCCCAGTGGCTTCGCGTGGATTTTCATAACCCTGTTGTGCAAAAATAGGATATGCATTTGAAATGGCTGTCTGAGTTATCATATATATCATGATCGATACAGAAATAGATCGAGTAATCTTTTCCTTTATCCAATAAAAAGTCTTTCTAGTTTCCATGGTCCAATCTTGATCCCAAAATTTCTACAATAAATGGGGTAAGTCACTAGTATAGTTTCCTATCCACGATTCTGCTAGTTATTGGAAAATAAATTAAATGGAATAATATTTTAGTTGAAATAATCTAAGATGACCCTACTCAATAGGTCGAAATAGAAAGCCTAAGTACGATTTTTAATGATTTAGGTAGGTACAACTACAAAGTAACAAACGATTAATAATAAAATAATTAAGTAGATCCTCTATCAGTCATTCATTGAATGATAAATAACTACAAGCGAAGGGGATACGCGATTTAAATAACGAAAAATCCAATATTTAAAAATAGTATCCAGAATGACTGGAAAAGTGGAAACTAGACCCGATATAATTTCATCATTATGAACAAATCCAAAATGTTTGTAGACAGAGCCAACCATTAGTTCCCAACCGTGGGGTGAGTGGAATCCGATACATAAATCCGTTAATAAAAGAATCGAAAAAGCTTTGACTGTGTCACTTAAGTTATATAGGAATTTCTGGGCCCAAGAGTTAAGAATAACAAGTTCTTGATTACCTAAAATAGAATAACCGCTTAGAAGAAAAAAACAGATTATATTTGTTGAGAAGTGCAAAATCGTATGGATTCCATCCTCATTGTGTATCTTGATTAATTGAATTATTTCTTTTTGGATTCCTATACGAAGTTTTTGTAGATGTGTCTCCGAATATTCCTCGATCATTTCCTCGAAGACGAGGAGTTCCTCTAATTTTAGGAATTTTGCTAGAATTCCCCTTTCTTGAATATCATTCAAAAAAATTTCGGATTGCCCAGCATTCCACCACTTAGTGACCCAAGATTCCAGGCTTTTATTAAATGAGAGGGAAAGGCACCAGGGCAAAAATACTATAAATAGAAGCTTTAACGCGGGAGTAAATGCTTTTTTTTTTGTCATTTTTTGATCGGCGAATTTTTAATCAACCAACCTCATTTGTTGACTCTATGAAATCAAATATTTCTTTGACGCATCAAATATTTCTTTGACGCATGGGTTATATACAAGATATGAAACCCATAAATTCAATTTATTTTCTTTGTTGTTATTGAATCTAGAAAGAATAAAGAAATCAACTAATAAGCCATTTCGAATGAAGAAATACTAAACAAATATTGTTTCACGATATCTCAATCAGTCAACAATTGTCTCCTTTGGATGAAGTATGGAAATAGCCTTTTTAACTAAAATAACTAAAACTACTTAATATTAATTTTAATATTAGTTAAATTTGGAGACGAAACTGTTGTATCAAAACAAAATAGCCAATATTTCAATTTCAAAACAAATTAACGGATTACTCACAGTCAGGAATAGAAATAGAATAATTGAAAAAGAAGCGATTACGATAATCAACGTGACAAAACAAAACCCAAATTGGCTAGTGATGAAATTGAGTTGTTCGTTGTGGATTGTTTATTAAAGAACACAAAATAAACGACAAAAACAAACGTCCATTGAAAAAAAATTTACCAATTTACAAGGTAGGATTTATCTGGATCTGGAGCTTTTATCTGGATCTTTGGATCTAAAGTAAAAGTAGCAATTCCAACTCCAACAATTATATTAAAACTTAACAAAAAAGATCCATTTCTTTATTTCGATTTTTTACTTGTTTGAATGAAATTTCATCGATTTTCATACGTATAAAAAACCACAAAAGGGGTTTCCTTTTAGTGTTGTTCTGCCCGCTTTGGCTCGAATGGGCCTTTTTTTGATGAAACTTCACACCTAAATTTTGTGTTATGTTGTCGAAAAAGATTCTTTTCTTTTTTCCCTACTACTGAGAAAGGCGCCTCTTTTCCACTGATTTCTCAAAATACTTCAAGAGGTACACGCAAGAAATAGGCCAATTCGGCAGCCCTTTTTTCAATTTCTCGTGGAATCAAATTATCATCAGTAAGAGTTAAAGGGATGGCTCCCTGTCCACGGATGTCCATATAAAGAACACGACGAGCAGAAATACCCTCTTTAACTTCTATTCGAATGGCCTGAATATCTTTTATAAGGAATCGCAGGAATATGCGACGATTTTTTCCAGGAAATCCCCAACGAAAAATACACACTATGCCTTCCCTTCTATCAAATCGATCATAACCACTGCCTACATTCCAAGAAATTGTGCACCACAAATAGGAGCTAATAAAGAGACCCGAGATTCCGTAGAAAGACATCACGATCCCCTGGGGAAAAAAAGATATCCAATTTTTACCAAAATAACTCGAAGTTCCAACCAATAGGAATCCTAATGAACCTAAAAAAAGGATAAAGGCCCAGCAAAAATTACTTATTTTGCGGGACCCCGTTATAAGTTCTATCCATCTATCTTCTGATCGCCAACTCATACTTGATCCAATTAAATTTTATTAGAATTTAGAGCATACCTCAAATTAATTTGACTTTACTTTTTTTGTTTCCCAAGTAACTCTCATCAACTAGCACTAGACCCCTTTACAAGTAAGGGCAGTAAGTCATCAAATTGAAATTTGTTAGAGCTAAAATCATAATATACCCCTTCCTTTAGGATATGTATGATATGATCCCACTCTAGATATACGATCGATAGATAGAGATCCGCGGGCTTTCTCTTTCAGCCATCCGGCGTCATGATCGATTTGAAAACAGCTAGAATTCATTTACTCATATATCATGTTTATATGCAGGCCTTCAAATTCTTTCCTTTATATTATATGCGGCAAAAATCACATGTTATACCGAATTCAATTAACTAGTATCCGTGTTATGATCCAAATCATAGTTTTGAAAACAAATCGAAGAAAATTACGCCCCAACAGATCTAAACAATCTTATTTTTTTGAACATAAAGAAATAAAGAAGCCATTGCAATTGCCGGAAATACTAGGCCTACTAAAGGCACAAAAATAGAAGGAAAGCTGAAAGTTGTCATAAAATGGGTTCCTCAATTTATTATTTGTACCTGTTATTTGTTGTTTATTTATAAATCCAAATATTTTATACTATAAATATAAATTATAATTATTTAATTCTTATTAATTTGAATTTAAGTCAATTGGAAATTCTTAGTATAGAGCTAACTATCTATAATATCTATAATAGATAAATATATAGTTAAATATCTAAGTTAATATTATTATATAGAATAAACGCAATAAATGGAGAACTAACTAAATGAACTTATTCATCTTTCGAATCCTTCTACACGAAAGATATGCAGTAGAATAGAATACCTTTTTGTTCTTTTTTTTTATCTGTACGATAAGACGAAATTTGTTTTTTTCCTAATTTGAAGAATGCACCTTTTTTGGATAAAGACTTCTTGATTAATAATCAAAATTATCCAACCCTTTTGATTCGTTCTACAGTTAGATCGTATGAAAACAAAAAAATTCCATTCTTACTTACTTTTATTCTGATAAACTAACTACTCATTTGCTAAAAAAAAAATAATAACAAATTTTACTTAGTTCTCTATTGAATTTTGATTCAAAGGAAGGAAATCATGGAACGCCAATAACTCACTCAGAACACTTTTTAAAATATTACGTGGGACAATTAGGTCGAATAAACCCTTCTCAAATAGGTATTCAGCCGCTTGCGAACCTTCGGGTACGGTTGTATTCAATGTTTGTTCAATTACTCGTTTACCCGCAAAAGCAATGTAAGCATCGGGTTCGGCAATAATGATATCACCCAACATACCAAAACTCGCTGTCACCCCACCAGTAGTAGGAGATGTAAGGATTGATACATAAAATAACTTTTTATTTGATTGATAATCATATAAAGCAGACGAAATTTTAGCCATTTGCATCAAGCTCAAACTTCCTTCTTGCATGCGCGCCCCCCCTGAAGCGCATACTATAATAAGAGGTAGACACTTATCGGTAGCGTACTCAATCAAACGGGTAATTTTTTCCCCAACTACGGATCCCATACTACCCCCCATAAAGTGAAAATCCATAATCGCAACTGCTACGGGAATGGCATTTAGTTGGCCGATGCCGGTTTGGACAGCCTCAGTTAATCCTGTCTTCCTTTGATAAGAATCAATGCGATCTTTATAAGGTTCGTCTTCGGAATGAAATTCAATGGGATCCAAAGAAACCATCTCTTCATCCATAGGATCCCAAGTACCGGGATCGATCAAAAGTTCGATTCTATCCAAACTATTCATTTTCAAATGAAATCCACATTGTTCACAAATATTCATTTTTGATTTCAAAAATTTCTTATAATTTAATCCATAACAATTTTCGCATTGAACCCACAAATCCCTATATTTTTGACTTACATCGTCGGAATCATTAGAACTTTCACTTAAAGTAAAATCATTAACCGTCGCGTGGGTTAGTATATCCGAACCCTCGCTTTCACTATTATTTGTAATTTCAGCATAAATGGAACTATAAATGTAGCTATCGCCGTAATTATCACTACTACTTACAATGTCCGTATCAATCCCGATTTGAGATTGAAGATAACTGTCAATGCAACTATTAATATGAGTATTCCAACTATATTGAGTATCATACATGTCCCGATTAGAGTTCGAGTAGGTATCTTCAATCGTAGATACATCATTGAGATAACTAGAATTCTGATAACTAGGAAAAGAACTTTCTAGCTCACCCCGAAAAGAATTCTTTTTATCAATCTCAAAAATTTGATTTTCAATATCAAAATATATGGAATAACTGTCTCCATTACTATCCTTAACTAAAAGGGGGTCATCAGGACTAAAATTCTGAATGTCTTTGACAACAAATAAAGGATCAACCTTACTGTAACTAGAATCATGACGACCTTCCCAACCCTGAATCCTTTTAGTCGTGGCTTTTAGATTCGTATCGTTGCTTTCGCTGGTATTTTCAATAGGACTAAGACTGTCCATTGGTTTATCTAGCCCACACTTGCATTCGAACTCCTTCTTAAACTTAAACAGCATCGAATTAAACCACCATTTTTCCATAGCGTTTTCTTGCCTCCTATTTGCATGAAAATACAATAGATGAATAGTCATTCGATCCAAAATTCTTTACAAAATTCTTTATTTAGTTGAATACCTTATTTCCTATCAGAATAAACAGAGAAACCCAATTACTAGAATTCATTAGTAACTAACGTTTGAGTATTGAACAAAATTCTTTGTTGTTTTGTGTAAATCAACAGCAATACTTATGATATGACTCTGCCAAATGTGATATGAATATACTATAAACCCTTGTCTTTCTAAGTCTTTCTAAAAAAATGATATGATTAGAAATCCTTTTTTTTGAAAAATGTCGTCTATGAACTAACTAATAAAGGGACAATATACGGGATGGGTAGAAAAGTTTTTGTTTTGTTTCAAGTAAACTCAAGAAACGAATATACCAACCCTAAGAATCCATAAGATTCGTTGTGGATCCAAGATATCACTAGAAAGATTTAATTCGTCGACTTTGTATTTACCATCTTCTCTACTTAGATTAAGTCTGTATTTATCGAAAATACGTGCAATAGAATCTTTGTATTCGGCTCAATCCTTTGTAGTAAAAGATTGGGCCGAGTTAAAGTTCAATTCAACTAAGAGAACAAAAAGAAATTACAAATTATTTATCCAAAGTATCCACCGCTGCGAAAATAAATTTAATCTCTTTCCATACTTCGCAAGCAGCCGCTAGTTCAGGACTCCATTTAGCAGCCTCGCGGATAATTTCATTACCCTCAGAAGCAAGATCACGCCCCTCGTTTCTAGCTTTTACGCATGCTTCTAGAGCTACTCGATTCGCTACAGCACCTGGCGCATTACCCCAAGGGTGTCCCAAAGTTCCTCCACCGAACTGTAGTACGGAATCATCTCCAAAAATTTCCGTCAAAGCAGGCATATGCCAAACGTGAATACCTCCTGAAGCCACAGGCAGAACACCCGGCATAGAGACCCAATCTTGAGTGAAATAAATACCGCGGGAACGATCTTTTTCAATATAATCATCGCGCAGTAAATCAACAAAGCCCAAAGTGATATCTCTTTCACCTTCAAGTTTACCTACTACAGTACCGGAGTGAATATGATCTCCGCCAGACATACGTAACGCTTTAGCTAGTACGCGGAAGTGCATACCATGATTCTTCTGCCTATCAATAACTGCATGCATTGCACGGTGAATGTGAAGAAGTAATCCATTATCTCGGCAATAATGAGATAAGCTAGTATTTGCAGTGAATCCCCCTGTTAAGTAATCATGCATTATGATAGGAACTCCCAATTCTCGAGCAAATACAGCCCTTTTGATCATTTCTTCGCAGTTACCTGCAGTAGCATTCAAGTAATGCCCTTTGATTTCACCAGTTTCAGCCTGCGATTTATAAATGGCTTCGGCACAAAATAAGAAACGATCTCTCCAACGCATAAATGGTTGAGAGTTCACGTTTTCATCATCTTTAGTAAAATCAAGTCCACCACGAAGACATTCATAACATGCTCTACCGTAGTTTTTAGCAGATAAACCTAATTTAGGTTTAATAGTACATCCCAATAGGGGACGACCATACTTGTTCAATTTATCTCTCTCGACCTGAATACCGTGAGGCGGCCCTTCGAAGGTTTTAACATAAGCAATTGGAATTCGCAAATCTTCCAGACGTAGGGCGCGCAGGGCTTTGAACCCAAATACATTACCTACGATGGAAGTAAACATGTTAGTAACAGAACCTTCTTCAAAAAGATCTAAAGGGTAAGCTACATAAGCAATAAATTGATCTTCTTCTCCAGGAACTGGCTCGATGTGGTAGCATCGTCCTTTGTAACGGTCAAGACTGGTAAGTCCATCGGTCCATACAGTTGTCCATGTACCAGTAGAAGACTCGGCAGCTACCGCGGCCCCTGCTTCTTCCGGTGGAACTCCGGGTTGAGGAGTTACTCGGAATGCTGCCAAGATATCAGTATCTTTGGTTTCGTATTCAGGAGTATAATAAGTTAATTTGTACTCTTTAACACCAGCTTTGAATCCAACACTTGCTTTAGTCTCTGTTTGTGGTGACATAAATCCCTCCCTACAACTCATGAATTAAGAATTCTCACAACAACAAGGTCTACTCGACACGAATTCGTTGTTAATGCAATTTTTCACAGGAATCTTTCACAAAATTCCCAACCAATACTAAAATAAATTATCAACTAATCCGAATGTTTGATTATTAGACCATACGATTTGCCAAATACATCATTATTGTATACCCTTTCATATATATAACGCAACCCAATTTACCCTTTTTGAATCGGATAGAAATTAATGAATCGTAATGTAAACAGAGCTCGGGTTCGAATTCCATAGAATAGATAATATAGATGGGATTGTCTATAATGATAAACAAATGAAAGGCTTTCTCAAGATTCTTATTCATCTGTTTGCGATTCTAAAAATTGGAAATAATAGGTTGATTGACTTTTCAAATTCATTGTTTCTTTTATTGTTTCTTTATTGAAAGAATTGAATTGGATTCGATTGAATGGTAACAACCAAATGGGTTGCTAACTCTCATGGCTTAGTGAATTAACCGATCAACTCGCTATCACCTATTTGTTTTTGGTTTGAATTCGATAATTTTAGCAAAAATATTTTCTTTATTAATTATTATGAGAATAAATCCTACTACTTCTGGTTCTGCGGTTTCGGCGCTTGACAAAAAAAACCTGGGGCGTATTGTCCAAATCATCGGACCAGTACTAGATGTAGCCTTTCCGCCAGGCAAAATGCCTAATATTTATGACGCCCTGGTAGTTAAAGGTAAAGATATTGCTGGTCAACCAATTAATGTAACTTGTGAAGTACAACAATTATTAGGAAATAATCGAGTTAGAGCTGTAGCTATGAGTGCCACAGATGGTCTAACGAGAGGAATGGAAGTGATTGGCACGGGGGCCCCTCTAAGTGTTCCAGTAGGGGGAGCAACTCTGGGACGAATTTTCAACGTGCTTGGGGAGCCTGTTGATAATTTAGGTCCGGTAGATACCAGTACAACAGCTCCGATTCATAGATCTGCGCCCGCCTTTATACAGTTAGATACAAAATTATCCATTTTTGAAACTGGAATTAAAGTAGTGGATCTTTTAGCCCCTTATCGCCGTGGTGGAAAAATAGGACTATTTGGCGGAGCTGGGGTGGGTAAAACAGTACTCATTATGGAATTGATTAACAATATTGCCAAAGCGCATGGTGGCGTATCCGTATTTGGAGGAGTGGGCGAACGTACTCGTGAAGGAAATGATCTTTACATGGAAATGAAAGAATCTGGAGTGATTAATGAAGAAAATATTGCAGAATCAAAAGTGGCTCTCGTTTACGGTCAGATGAACGAACCGCCAGGAGCTCGTATGAGAGTTGGTTTGACTGCCCTAACTATGGCCGAATATTTTCGAGATGTTAATGAACAAGACGTACTTCTATTTATCGACAATATATTCCGTTTCGTCCAAGCAGGGTCCGAAGTCTCGGCCTTATTGGGTCGAATGCCTTCTGCCGTGGGCTACCAACCGACACTGAGTACTGAAATGGGTTCTTTACAAGAAAGGATTACTTCTACCAAGGAGGGGTCCATCACTTCTATTCAAGCGGTTTATGTGCCTGCGGACGATTTAACCGACCCCGCGCCTGCTACGACATTTGCACATTTAGATGCTACTACCGTACTATCAAGAGGATTAGCTGCCAAAGGTATCTATCCAGCAGTTGATCCTTTAGATTCAACATCAACTATGCTTCAACCTCGGATCGTTGGTGAGGAACATTATGAAACCGCGCAAAAAGTGAAACAAACCTTACAACGTTACAAAGAACTTCAGGATATTATAGCTATCCTTGGGTTAGACGAATTATCCGAAGAGGATCGTTTAATCGTAGCGCGGGCGCGAAAAATTGAACGTTTCTTATCACAACCTTTCTTTGTAGCAGAAGTATTTACTGGCTCTCCAGGGAAATATGTTGGTCTGGCAGAAACAATTAGAGGATTTCAATTGATTCTTTCCGGCGAGTTAGATGGTCTTCCTGAACAAGCCTTTTATTTAGTAGGTAATATCGATGAAGCTACCGCGAAGGCTATGAACCTAGAAATGGAGAACAATTTGAAGAAATGACCTTAAATCTTTGTGTACTGACCCCTAATAGAATTGTTTGGGATGCAGAAGTGAAAGAAATAATTCTATCTACTAATAGTGGTCAAATTGGCGTATTACCCAATCATGCCCCTATTGCGACAGCTGTAGATATAGGTATTTTAAGAATACGTCTTAATGACCAATGGTTAACAATGGCTCTGATGGGCGGTTTTGCTAGAATAGGCAATAATGACATAACCATTTTAGTAAATGATGCGGAGAAGGGTAGTGACATTGATGCACAAGAAGCTCAGGAAACTCTTGAAATAGCGGAAGCTAATTTGAAAAAGGCTGAAGGAAAGAGACAAATAATTGAAGCAAATCTAGCGCTCCGCCGAGCTAGGACACGAGTAGAGGCTCTCAATGTGGTTTGATTTGATAACTAAGTTAGTACGTTCGAATAAATAGGTTTCAAACCCTATTTGGATTCTATCACATACAATCAAGCAAATCCCAATTTTGATGCAACTAAAAGAAATTCAGAAAGAAAATAGAAAAAATGCAAAATCAAAAAACTAAATAGAGGGTGGTTCAAAAAACTTATTAGATACTGCGTATCTAATAAGTTCTACCTACTATTGGATTTGAACCAATGACTCTCGCCGTATGAAAGCAATACTCTAACCACTGAGTTAAGTAGGTTATTTCTCGTCCCAAAGAGAACAAAAAGGAATCCATCCCCTTCATGGATTATAAATATAATATTCTTTAGAAGCAATACCGCGGAACCAGATCAAAGATTTATGATGTTCGATCATCGAATATTAATCTTGACAACAAATTAGCTACATAATAAAATATGTATTACAAGCAATAAGGGCTATAGCTCAGTTGGTAGAGCGCCTCGTTTACACGTGCGCCAATGTTTTTCAAAGGGAACACATCATAAAATCAAAAGAATGGGTATCTTAATTCAGAATGTCTTACCCCATAACTTTAATTTAAGGGAACAATAGCCTGACAAAAGGGTTCGGTTCAATTGGAGTGCCCGTATAGGTGCCAAATAGACCCTATCCTAGATTGGAGATATTGATAGGGTGAATAGTTAGTCTACTCAATGCTAGGCCTAATGAGTATAAGGAACTCAAACAATCTCTTTTCGTCCTATGAACTTTAAGGTGTATTAAGTTTCATATTTCATTTTGAAAACAGAACGATAGAGACTTCATTTAACTTAAACTTAGGTTGAAGAGGCCGGAGGCATACCTACGTCAAGATAACCATACCTTTGAAAGACTTTGGTAGTGCTCTTGGATCAGAATGCAAAATAAGTAATCAGAGCACGAGGAGCCATCTTCTTATCTTTATCTTATTTTTTATATCAAAAGAAAAAAGATGGCAGACTAGCTGATATTTTCATCAGTTAATGAAAGAGCCCAATGCAAAAAAATGCATGTTGGGTCTTTGAAACAGTTCGGATCATTTTGATAATAAAAAGTTTGATCTGTTTTACCGAGAAGGTCTACGGTTCGAGTCCGTATAGCCCTAAAATTAATTAAAAATTTCAAAAATGAATTCAAAAATAAATTAATAAAAAAGAAATAATAACAATTCAATTTACAATTAATAATTAATTAATTAATTAGAATATAAATATAAAACTAATAGAAAATAAAAATGATTAATCAAAATTCAATCAAATTTATTTCTATTCTCTTAAATTTTAAAAATTTACGATTTATTCAATTAAAATAAAATTAGTAAGTTCAACTAAAATAAAGGAGAATTTTCTTTTTTTATTTCAAATTCCCTTTCTTTAGTTTAGAGAGAAACTTAGGCGAAAAAAGAACTTGTATAAAAGTAAGATATAGATAGAGTTATACTAACTAAAAAGCGGTATGGTATAATGGAATATAGGGTTGCACCTTGAAATGCCACAGTAAATAACGGAAATTAATCAATTCGCTGAAAACGAATTTATGTTTATTTTGACCAAATAGTTATCGATGACTTGACAATTTCAATTGAGCAATCCGGTATATTTTCCACGTCCAGAGGAGTCTTTCTATGTTTCTGCTTTACGAATATGATATTTTTTGGGTATTTCTACTAATATCGAGTCTTATTCCTATTTTGACCTTTTTCATTTCGGGAGTTTTAGCCCCGATTAGCAAAGGTCCGGAGAAGCTTTCTAGTTATGAATCCGGTATAGAACCAATGGGCGACGCTTGGTTACAGTTTAGAATCCGTTATTATATGTTTGCTTTAGTTTTTGTTGTTTTTGATGTTGAAACGGTTTTTCTTTATCCATGGGCAATGAGTTTCGATATATTGGGTGTATCCGTATTTGTGGAAGCTTTAATTTTTGTACTTATCTTAATTATTGGTTTAGTTTTTGCATGGCGAAAGGGAGCATTGGAATGGTCTTAGCTCCTTAATATTTAGACAATACAAAGAAAAAGGGGAAAAAGGAAAATTGAGACTGTTATGAATTCTATTGAGTTTCCTTTACTTGACCGAACAGCCCAAAATTCGGTTATTTCAACTACATTAAATGATCTTTCAAATTGGTCAAGACTCTCTAGTTTATGGCCGCTTCTCTATGGTACCAGCTGTTGTTTCATTGAATTTGCTTCCCTACTAGGTTCACGATTCGACTTTGATCGTTATGGTCTAGTACCAAGGTCGAGTCCTAGACAGGCGGATCTAATTTTAACGGCTGGAACAGTAACAATGAAAATGGCCCCCTCTTTAGTGAGACTGTATGAGCAAATGCCCGAACCAAAATATGTTATTGCAATGGGAGCATGTACAATTACAGGAGGGATGTTCAGTACTGATTCTTATAGTACTGTTCGGGGAGTTGATAAACTAATTCCTGTGGATGTCTATTTGCCAGGCTGTCCACCTAATCCAGAAGCAGTTATAGAGGCTATAACAAAACTTCGTAAGAAAATGTCTCGAGAAATCTCCGAAGATAGAATTAGGTCTGAACGAGTGAACCGCTGTTTTACTTCCAATCATAAGTTTCATATTCGGCGAAATATTCGTATTGGAAAATCTGATTCTGATAAAGGATTCCTTTCTCAATCGGACTATACGGCAACGGCAGAAATACCTACTGAAACCTTTTTTAAATACAAGAGTTCAGCCTTTTCTCACGAATTGATAAAATAAATTAGGCAGTAGTTCTTTGTACAAAATAGCATATATATAGTATATAGTAGACCACATAAATTTCATCGTAAATGTGAAATACTTATACAAATAATACACAAAAGAGGGGAGATATAAAAAAGATGCAGGGTCGTTTGTCTGCTTGGCTAGTCAAACATGGACTAAGTCATAGATCTTTGGGCTTTGATTACCAAGGCACAGAGACTTTACAAATAAAGCCCCAGGATTGGTATTCCATTGCTGTTATTTTATACGTATATGGTTACAATTATTTACGCTCCCAATGCGCCTATGATGTAGCGCCAGGCGGGCTATTAGCTAGTGTCTATCATCTTACGAGAATAGAGTATGGTGTAGATCAACCAGAAGAGGTATGCATAAAAGTATTTGTCTCACGAAAGAATCCTAGGATTCCGTCCGTCTTCTGGGTTTGGAAAAGTGTGGATTTTCAAGAACGAGAATCCTATGATATGTTGGGAATCTCTTATGAAAATCATCCCCGTTTGAAACGTATCTTAATGCCGGAAAGTTGGATAGGCTGGCCCTTACGCAAAGATTATATTGCCCCCAATTTTTATGAAATACAAGATGCCCATTGAATGTGAATGATAAGACCGCTCTTATACAATTTTTCAGATATTCAAGACTTATACATTCCGTTTTGATTAAGCAGAATAAAAATAATAAATAATGGTTGATAAATAATGGTTGTTGATAGGCTAACAAAAAAGACAATACAAAAAAATTAGGGATTCAGGAGGATTCTCGGATCCCAACTTAAACAACTTCAACTTAGAAATAGAAACAATTTTAATTTTAGAAAAAGTTATGTAAGAGTAATGAAGAAATCAAATAGTAAAGAGGATACAAAGAACTGAAGGAGTATTGACTTCTAGTTATTTGTATCTTTTGTCTACTTCAGATTTGACTTTTGAGTCTCTCAAGCAACCAATTTAACCCTTTGTTTTGATATGAAGTATTAACATTCTTTTTGAAGATAAAGAATAGGAGAAATGAAATAGAATCGAATTTTGTAGATACTTTATTTGAAAAATTCTACCCATCTATAATCTATAAAATATAAAACTAAAAAATAAAAATATAAAACGAAAAAATAGATGGGGTGGGTATATCTTCACACAGTGGATAAAAGTATTATTGTGATCGAAGCTCTAAATGCATAGGAATGTGAATTCAAAATGAATTTCTCTATTTCTAGAAAAGAGAAGAGAAAACCATGCAAATGAATCGTGTGCCATGCCAGGAACCAGATTTGAACTGGTGACACGAGGATTTTCAGTCCTCTGCTCTACCAGCTGAGCTATCCCGACCCCTTCCAATGTAGCATTCTCATTTTACTCCAAAATGGGTACTGTGTCAATTAAAAGAATCTTACCAATTCCAACAATTATATTAAAACTTAAAAAAGGGGGAATTTCCAAGTTTTTTAGGTTAGGAGTAATTCTATAGATTGTAAATCATTCAAATGGGGATTTCTTGCTCAAACATATCCATTTGTATCATATCCATTTGTATGTATGTGATACAAAGAAAAGGGTATTGTTGCCCCGACCACTTCTAAGAGAATATAGTGAATGAAATGGATAGGGCATTTTGAACCGATAACAAAAGAGGGATAGTTAAATAGATAGTTGGGGAATCAAATAGTCTATTTGATTTGGGGATAGAGGGACTTGAACCCTCACGATTTTAAAAGTCGACGGATTTTCCTCTTAACTATAAATTTCATTGTTGCCGGAATTGACATGTAAAATGGGACTCTATCTTTATTCTCGTCTGATTAATCAGTTCGTGAAAAGATCTATCAGACTATGGAGTGAATCATTTGATCAATGAATATTCGATTCGTTCTTAAACATGGAATCTATTAACTTTCTTTTTTCATAGAAAAAAGAGTTTGGGCTGTCAATACTCATTTAATATACTATTCACTACATATGTATATATATGGTTATCCTTCGCTTTATCCTTAAATACTGAAAATACTGAAGGAATTTTTCCTGGAAAGACTTATCGACTAACGCATCCAACTCCATTTGTTAGAACAGCTTCCGTTGAGTCTCTGCACCTATCCCCTTTTTCCCTTTCTGAACCTTTGTTTTTTGTTTTCGGAAAATAGGATTTGGCTCAGGATTGCCCCTTTTTATTAATTCCAGGGTTTCTCTGAATTTGAAAGTTCTCACTTAGCGGGTTTCCATACCAAGGCCCAATCTAATTAAGTCCGTAGCGTCTACCGATTTCGCCATATCCCCCTTCGTCTTGTGTTGAGATTTAAATTTCATTGTTATGTTGTTTCTTTTTTTCTTTCATTTATAATGAAATCCTTGAATTCATTAGATATCAGATTGCTATCTCCTCGAAACAAAGTTTTTGTTTATTTATTACCTTCTATAGAAGAACCATCTTTGGATTTGGTCCAATCGACTATGATTTTACCATTTCTGTATCTGCAATTCAATATAGATGGAGATATATCCAAGCTAAATATAGATAACTATCACGTTATCGGTGTAATTTTGAATACTTGAAGGTTCGATTCTTTTTTTGTCATCTTAATTTCTCCCTTTCCTACTTACTTGTTTATGAAAGTAGCGAATGTCTCATTACTTATAACTAACCATTCCTAAGTGGAACTAGATGATTATGATATAGAATCAAATAATACAATAAAAAGAAGTTCAAATGGCATTTGAATTCAAAAATGAAAACTTTAATTATCTAAAACTCGAATCGAATAATAAAAGATATATCCAATTTAATAATATTAATAAATATTAATATATTAATATTGGAATTTTGTTTTATTTTATATTCGTTTTATTTTTTTTTTAATATTTAATTTTATTAATTTAATATAATATTTATTAATTTAATATAATATTAGTATTAGTGATAAATTTAAATAATAATAATAAATAAATCGAAATTCGATATCGCTCTATTAATTGTTGTGTTTATAATATTCCTCTGGCTCTGGATATAAAATGGATATTATATGAGCCCGCTTAGCTCAGAGGTTAGAGCATCGCATTTGTAATGCGATGGTCATCGGTTCGATTCCGATAGCCGGCTTTTCCTATTTATTTAAATTTTTACGTAATTGAGAATGTCCCTTTTGAATTTGAAATCAAAAAATGTTGAAGGGGTGAGGTCTCACCTTTCCAAAAGACATACACTTTTAAAATTATAAGACCTTAGATTATATCCGGAAAGGGGTCCTTTTTTCTATATTTTTCTATAATAGTTTTTCTATACTAGAAGTATGTGGATCATTATCCAATTCATTTAATTCTTGTTTCTAGTACACAATTCAGTAAACTTCGCTTGATTTCGGTCAGTTTTTTTTTAGTTTAAAAAAAAAATAAGAATCAAATTCATATTAAATAAGAATTAAATAAGAATAGATTAAATAAGAATAGAATAAGGAGTCTTTATGTCGCGTTACCGAGGACCTCGTTTCAAAAAAATACATCGCCTAGGGGCTTTGCCAGGATTAACTAATAAAAATCCTAGAACTGGAAATGATCTTAGAAACCAAACGTATTCGGGGAAAAAATCTCAATATCGTATTCGCCTAGAAGAAAAACAAAAGTTGCGTTTTCATTATGGTCTTACAGAACGACAATTAGTAAAATATGTGCGCATCGCCGGAAAAGCTAAGGGGTCAACAGGTCAAGTTTTACTCCAATTACTTGAAATGCGTTTGGATAACATACTTTTTCGATTAGGTATGGCTTCGACTATTCCTGCCGCCCGCCAATTAGTTAACCATAGACATATTTTAGTTAATGGTAGGATAGTGGATATCCCAAGTTATCGCTGCAAACCCCGAGATATTATTACAGCGAAGGATGAACAAAAATCCAGAGCTTTGATTCAAAAATCCTTGGATTCGTCCCCCCGGGAAGAATTACCAACTCATTTGATCCTTCACCCATTCCAATATAAAGGATTGGTCAATCAAATAATAGATAGTAAGTGGATCGGTTTGAAAATAAATGAATTGCTAGTTGTAGAATATTATTCTCGTCAAACTTAAACCTAACTAGCAAATTTCCGACCAGAAGGAAATTAATACTTAAACTTAATAAGTAAGATAAATGTAGGTTTGATCCGGATTTTTTACTTTTTATACATCTTTTTTATTTTATAGATTAAGGAAATTTTTTTATTGTTCTTTATTGTTCAGAGTTACAGTATTTTCTTTATCTAGTATTTTGTGTGTCACACCAATTAGGAATAGAAAATCCATCTTAACTATTAACTAAAAGTAACTAAAAGACAGGTCGAACAGTTCAACTAGTGTTATAAATTTCCCATTGT